AGCACTTCATGCATGATTCTGATAGGACCATCTCTGTAGGTCAGCCATAATCTATCAATGTTAAGGCAGATGCAACTAGATGCACGGTAGTCAATAGGAATGTGTTTTAACCACTCTGGTTTTGTTTGTTGCAGTTTGCTTAATTTATAATTGGGTTGATGCATACCTCTATTTTGTCAATTTATCTTATCCTTGTTGAGGTTTTGTTAGTTTCAGTTCACCAGTTCTTTAGATATGTCCTCACCTTGGGCTTAGAAAATCTGCTTCCAGAAAATAACCTGAATAATTTAATTGTATTTCAATGAGAAGCAAGAAAGATTGATTTATGCTCCCCTCTGTTGAACAGCTTGTTGAAAATAGAATTCTAGGATAATAGTGACGTATAGGTACCACCATCATTGGGTTCACAGCAGTGATTAAATACATTGATCATGAATCAAGACCATTAGCTCAGTAGGACCCCCTGAAAGGCACTGAGAAAACATGTGCTAAAATAAGCTAGAATATTGGTTACAGTGGAGGATCAAGGGCTGACTAGAGCAGTACATGATCTATCTGAATAAGCACTGAAGAATTTCATGTTCCCGGTACAGATCTCATAGTTCTATCCTAAAAGAGTCTGGACTTCTCCAATAAGGTAATATTTGTCCAGCAAGCTCTCAGTTAAAACATGGACCTAGACAACAGGTAGTATCCAATATTGTGGTTACACCTGCAGTTCCCTCCCACCACTGGAACAAATGTCCACCTTCTCATTGCAGCCATTGAAGTATTCTCTCAAATACACTTTGAAGGACTGGGGAACCCTCCAGAGCAGTTCTGAGGCACGCACGTGGTGAGGAGAGGACAGGAAAGTCCAGCTGTATGACTGGAAGCCCCATCCTGTTGGCAAGCAGACTTTGCTCATGTGTTGGCTGAATTCTATTAAAAAGAGAAAACATGGTGTTACCAGATTCTAATCTACAAGCAGGCAATGGAATGACCACATGATGCCCACGGTTATACCTACCAATTGGCAGTACTGCCAGGCTCACCGTTATATCGCCAAATAACTGATCAGGTATAAAGGATGCTCTAATGTATAATTAAGCATAAATAACCAGAGGCCCTCTGGCTTCTAAGTATTTTAATGTGACCAGCTATGAATGCACTGATATGAAACTAATCTTACATGATGAAACCTTTTAGGCATTCACCCTGTCTCCAACCACTTGTCCCTTAAATGCAATATAAAGTATATGGTTTTGAAAGGAGGCCTTTTTCCCCCTAACCAAATTAGGACATTGTCCTCTGACTAAATTTTCCATATGCTGATGACATCTTGCAAGTGGAATGGAACCTTATTCCAACTGAGACATGTCTGATTAAAATGTGACTATATATTTAGTGGTTCTTGTTATAAAGGGTTTTTATCAAGCAGTTATAGGAAAATAAAATATTTAGACTTTGGTCCCCATACTTCAACAATATATGGACACTGATGGTCACAAAGCAGAGCTAATCAGTTTTTTTTTTAACTTCGAATAGAAAATTTGCTAAGCTTCATGGCTCAGCTCATCCGCAAAGCAATAAAAAGCCAGAACCGATTTGCAAACTAATACAAAGTCAGTTTTCACAAGAACCTATGATAGAAATGTTAGAAACAGAATATTTTCATGAGATACAAACACAAAATAAGTGATTTCTTTATGATTAGAAGATGGAACAAAGCTACAGAAATTTATGCAGAACTGTCAGGAGTTCCTTCAGGGTTTCAGCTGCACTATAAAAGCAAGATGTGATTGGTCAGATTATGTCCCTGGAGATGTGTCATCTCTACAATTGATTTACTCTCAAAATTATGCATGGAAGAGGAACATTGTAACCCTCAAGCCTTTCTGTGACTAAAGCAAAGCATAATGGTATCTTATCAACTGGGTTAAAAAGGGAAGAGCTGTAGTGCATGTAATGAAGAATTTATCAATTTAGGAACTATGGACATTGCAATTCAAAAAGAGCTTGCATCCATTACTCCATCTAGGATTCCACCTTCCTTTTATTTATTCAGTGGGGTCCTTCATATCTGAACACTAACCTTTCTTCAAAGTAAAGAGTTGCCTTTATCAAGATCAAAATGAAGGCACAATATGCTAATTACTGTTGGAGTTGGTTTGATGGGATCATCAGAACTAAATAGCTTTATTCTTCTGAAAAGCGAGTTGATGATCCAGTTCATTATACATTTGAATGTGAACCGTATGTGTTCTTTTCTTCTTCTTTCTAAGAATCATTCATCCTTTCAGAGACAGTTCATTTACCTGTTCATCATATAGTGAGAAATTGATTTTTCTATTAGGTAATAGATGTACAATTATTCTCCACTTTTTTTTGCTAATTTCACTTACCATGCCTCTAATGGAAGTAATATTGGGTGCAGTATGAGACTGTAGTTTACTCTTTTTGTAACGCTGGCAGTTTTATCTATGCTTACTATATTGATTTTATGTAAAAGTTAATAGGGAAGGTGGAATAAACAATGACTGAGTTATTGAGCAAAAAGAACACACACCCGATTTATCAAACATGTGCCTTCAGACTTGAGAACAGGGGCTATTTTGTTCTTGGATATCTCTCCCCAATTAAAAGTTTTAACATGAAAAACATAATTTATATTCATGCCCCTGGAAGTGCTAGAAGGGTTTTAATGTAAAAGACATTTAATCTAGCTTTCTAGCACAAGACTGGATTTTCCAGCTCCAAAGGTTTCCCATAGATAGGCAGGGTGACACCTACAACCTTGCCGAACTCCTTTCTCAATTTTGTACCAATCAGTGGTTCACTGTATAGAGCTTCTCCATGTTTGGCTGCAGAGCACATAGTCAATCTGATTTCTGTGTTGACCATCTGGTGATGTCCACGTGCAGAGTCATCTCTTGGGTTGTTGGAAAAGAGTGTTTGCTATGACCATCGTATTCTCTTGGCAAAATTCTACCAGCCTGTGCCCTGCTTCATTTTGTACTCCAAAGCCAAACTTGCCTGTTATTCCGGTTATCTTTTGGTTTCCTACTTTAGCATTCCAATCCTCCATGATGATAAGAACATCATTTTTGGGTGTTAATTCTAGAAGGTGTTGTAGGCCTTCATAGAACCAGTCAACTTCAGCCTCTTCAATACCAGTGGTTGGGGCATAGACTTGGACTATTGTGATGTTGAATGGTTTGCCTTGGATTCAAACAGATCATTCTGTCATTTTGGAGATTATATCCCAGTACTGCTTTTCCTACTCTTTTATTGACTATGAAGGCTACTCCATTTCTTCTGAGGGATTCTTGCCCGCAGTAGTATACCCGATGGTCATCTGAATTAAATTCACCCATTCCTGTCCATTTTAGTTCACTGATTCCCAAGATGTCAATGTTCAGTCTTGTCATCTCATGCTTGACCACATCCAGCTTGCCTTGATTCATGGATCTTACATTCTAGGTTCCTATGGAGTATAGATCTTTGCAGCATCGGACTCTCCTTTCACCACCAGTTACATCTGCAACTGAGTGTCCTTTCAGGTTTGACCCAGTCACTTCATTCTTTCTGGCGCTACTAGTACTAGCCCTCCGCTCTTCCCCAGTAGCATATTGGACACCTTCCGACCTGAGGGGCTCATCTTCCGGCATCATATTTTTTTGCCTTTTGGTACTGTCCATGGGGTTTTCATGGCAAAGATACTGGAGTGGGTTGCCATTTCTTTCTCCAGTGGATCACGTTTTGTCAGAGCTCTCTGCTATGACCTGTCCATCTTGGGTGGCCCTGCATGGCATAGCTCATAGCTTCATTGAGCTACGCAAGCCCCTTTGCCACAACAAGGCAGTGATCCATGAAGGAGCTGGAAAGACTTAGTGGACATGTTTACCATCCTGGCTGTCTGCTTGATCATGATTTTGGGAGTCAGAAAGGAATCACTTAGCATTACTAATAGGTCTGGTAGGGTTGTATGTAGTATGGTTGACTTGCCTGGGGCTGATACTTCTCCATCATGTCACATGTTCTCATCTTCTATATAATGCCTATTTAGTCCAGTGTGTGGCATGATATCATGCTGTGTATGAAACATGGGGAATCTCTGGTCTATGGGCTACACAAGTTCCCATCCAGATTGCCAGTTGCTTCTCTGGACTTCCACAGGGAAATAAGTTCTTCTCGGCTATGGGCAGCTGATAAAAGGCTCCTTTTCTCTCTACTCAGCAGGGAAAGCTCTTATCTCCAGTCAGAAGTTGATTATGCATAGGCTCTGTCCCTGACAAGAAGACAAGTCAGGGTCTGGAGAGGAGGCTGCTAGGGAGCGGTTCAGCCCTGCATATTTCTGAGGCTTGTTTTGCTTACTTGTCAGTAGACATGCAGATATGTGCCTTCCTTACTTCTGAGTAGACATATATGTTGGCATTTTGGATACTATTTGAAAATACTCCTGAGGAATTCAGTATATGTTGAGAGAACTCTGCCACCAACAGTCAATTATGTAAAATAAAATACCTTCTTTGATAACCCAAGTTCTGAGAACATGGTTTAATCTATTCATACTTTCCCCCTATTGTCTTTTTAATTAAACAAGCTTCACATGGTATACCAACATACAGGCTAGGGTCTTTTGTTTTGTTGTGTTGTTATTGTTTTAAAAGAAAATCAGGCTTAATATGGTTTGCTTTTTGTTATTAGGTTTCACATGACTTGTTAAAAACGACCAGTGATTATTCTGAATTCATTGTATTGATTTCCTATAATTTGTGTTAAAGTGTAATAAAAACATTCAGTGCTTTACAACATAGAAACCGAGAGGCGTTACACAAAAGGAAAAACAAGGATACCAAAAAGAAGTGAGTAACAGTAGCATGCTGGGCTATTGAAAAATTTGAATGGATGAAGGAAGTAATTTGAGAACATTTCATGGACAACAGGAAAGGAAAAGTAAAGAAGGAATAAATTGTTGTTTTTCATGAAATCTTCATGTTGTTTCATGCAGGATTTCTCTAAGTAGCTGCAAGGGAATGCTCTTGATGCTTTTTCTCACTCTTAGTGAAATTAATCTGTTCATGGATCCACTTTCCGACACCAGGGGTAATTCCATTGTAGGACAATGCATCTTTCAGGATCAAATCCTGAAATGGGGAGGAAAGTGTTAAATATTAAAATCTAGACATAGCTTTTTCAAACTCTTGAGTGATTCTGTTCACTTAAGGATGCAATAAACTAGAAAGTCTCTTTCTATACTTATTAATCCAAATACTTTTAACAGTATATGGCAAATGAAGAAAAGTATTTAACTTTGAAAAGACAAAAATACTTGCTCATTAGACATAATCAAAGCAGCAATAAATTACATTTCAGAATATTGGTTTCAGAGACAAACATCATCAATTAACTTTGATCTAGTGACAAAGGAGCCAAATCACTTTGAAATCTGGTAGGCAGGTTTCAGAGTATGGTGTTAAGGGCCAGTTTTCTGCAGGATTTGGATTTTATGAGGTTTCTTGTGGGGTTTTGTGGGATTCAAATAGCAAATGCTATAGAATAGTGGTTAAACTTTTTAAAAGGTTTTAAAGAGTAAGTTCTATTCTGTTTGGTGCTATTCCAGCAAAGTAGTCCAGGGCAGGTGCTTCTACAGGCCATCTTGCAAAGTATGCCTCACTTTGAGGAAGGAGTATTAAGCACAGGCCCGGTAGGAGTTCTTCTTTGCCCGAGTAGCATAAGTGGTAGTGGTACTCCAGGTCTGTGGGCCTCAGCATCAGCTCCTGGGGAGAGACATAGGTAAGAAGCAGCTGTTGCTACATTAGCAAAGCCGCCCAAGTGGCTGTGGTGGATGGAAGAGAAGCAGGCAACTGTTGCAGGAAGGAGCAGTGGAGAATTGGTGCTACCATCACCTAAAACAACAAGACAGTGTCTTTTGGGGGGGGGGGGTTCTGTTCTGTTTTGTCCCTGATGCACTCTCACATATACACGAAAAGCTCAGTCTATATATGGCAGATGTCAAAGTGGCATCTTAAATTGAGGGTCATGGAAATAACCTACTACAGCTGGGGATGCAATCCACACTGAAAAGGACATTAACAGACTGGGCTTTGCTATGGAAGTGTTAATTTGCAACTGCAGCTGCTAAGTTTATTAAATATTCCCTCTCCTTGATGATCAGGACATATAACAATAGCCTTCAATTCAGGAAGCAGTCTACAGCATAAGTGGGAAAATGTTAGGATTTTAGAAGGGCCCACAATTGCCAGTGCCAGTACCTCCTTTTATTTACCAGGTACTTTTGTTGGCCTGGCATCTATGTATGGCGTTACATTCTGGGTCAATTGAAAATGGTGGTGGACAGATCCATCTACACAAACTTGCCAGTTCTAGCTTTGCCAATAATCCCAAACTGTGCAAGAACCACATACTTTTCTAGAGTCAATTAGTGCAGATTAGTGGATTTACTTACTTATATTCCACCTTTCTCCTATTGTGGAATGCAAGGTGGCTACATGTCGTTCCCAGAGCAGTTAAGGCCAGCCTCAGACCTGTTTAGGTACCTTCAGATTCCTTCATCTTTTTAAAGGAATTTTTTTATTATTATTGTGAAAATCTCAATTTATCTTGGAGTCATAAGTCCATGACATGGCTCAATTGGTGTCATAGAGGGTCAGTGGCAGGCTGGAATCTACAGGGGCAGAGGGTTGGATTCCCCACACATTCCTATGGATAACAATGGCCAGACTAACAGTTACATAGGATTGGATGATAATAAATGCATTGTCAATTTCCATTTTTAAATAACTTTGATTTTCTACTGAAATTTCACCTGTGTTATTTCACAAAGCTTGTGTTTTCGTTTTATCAAAACCAAACTTTTTTGGGAGGAGGATGAAAGAAATGATCTTGGCAAGACAAGCAGTAACGAACTGTAAGCTGTATGAGCAAATAGAGAGGACAGCTATATACAAATGCCATTTGTTTGTGAAATCAGTGCCACATGCTGGATATTGGCAGCCATGAACTACAGTGGAAAGTGGATATGGTGGTCTCTGAGTATCAGATGAACACATCACAGTAAGCAAGGGGGAGGCTGCTTTCTTCTCCTTTCTGTTGTCATTCCATTTGTTTGTTTATTACAGCCACCAAATATGTATCAACTAGCTTTTTAACAATTACCTGAAAGGTAATCCTTAATAAAAGGGAAAAAAGTATCATTTTTGTATGTGCTCGATGTTTTAAGTTCCTACTTAAAAACTTAAAGTCTATTTTTAAAATAGATTATGATGAAGGTAAGCCATCTGGCTCAGTGCAATTCAAGATTAGCCTGAATCTGTTGAGCAGTTATAATAGCAAATTCCCAATATTGGTTTTGATGGAAGAGAAACTCACTGAAATCATTATACTGAGAATTAAGCTAGGCATGATTTAGGAGTTCTGGGATTGGACTTTGCAATTTTTTTTCTTTTGAAAATGTAGCTCTACCATGTAGATGTCTTGGTGATCCAGATTAGGACTGTGGTTCATTGATGGGGTACCCTTTTCTCCCCTTTCAAATTGCTCTACCCTAAAGCTGCTGAGAGCATGCACACACACACAGAAAGAGAGCGAGCGAGCGAGCTGTGCCCATTAACTTGTTTCAACTTGGGAAAACAGCTGCTTTGGTTGGAAATTGTAGTTTATGAAGAATAAACCTCCTTTCCTCATTTCTGTGGTTATGATCTGAATTGCTTCCTCCAACCAAGTCCTCCCCTCTGGTACTGCTTTCCTTTCTTACCTTCGCTCCCCCCCCCCTTTAAAAAAGTTGCTAGGAGTTCAAATCAAAAGTTGTTAGGAGATCAAAATTTCACAGCATGCCACTTTTGCTACTCCCTAGGGGCAGGGGAGCAAAACAGTACTTTATTCTGTTTGATGTTTCCCTACTCACAAGCATGATTTTGAGCTCTGTGGGGTGAGAGAAAGCAAGTGTGGGTAACTCCCTTTCTCCTTTTCACCCTCTGATTGTCCGCCATATGCTTGCATCATCTTTGCCTTTTGGAAGACGTTGTTAGGCACGTTTGCATGCTGCAGTTCTAACCTTATTCAGGTGTTCTATCCCTTCACTGTGAAGTACTTTCATGGGTTGGCTCACTGCTGGCCTTCTTGCCTTCCATGTGTTGGGAAAGCAGATGTCCCCAGTGGGGAGTCTTTACATTCATGAAGGATTGCTGTGTTATCCAAAGCCTTCACAAGTAGAACCCAAGCTCCTTACCTTTTGCCTTCCCAACATCTAGAAAGTGTTGGGTGCAGCAGTGAGGGTGAAACAGCAGAGGGAATGGTGATGGCAAGTCCATCCACATTCTTCCCCTCATCATCTCAGGGACAGAGCCCCTGAGGACAAGTATTGTCTGTCAGACATATAGGACTGTATCTGCTTGCATGACAGTAGGACCTGCCACTAAAGCAACTGGCAAAGTGCCAGAAAGTTTGTTTTCAGAACAGGGCAGATGAGTGGAACTCAGAAAAGGGTGCCTCGCTTACTAGTTACATCCCAGAAATAAGGACTCTGGCTCATTTCTAGAGCTATTTTAGGAAATGCGAGCTAGTTCTGCAGACAAAACAACATGTAGGGTGGCATAGTGGCAATGCCGAATACTGGTTGTAATGAAGTCTTAATCCCAGTGCCCTTGCTTTTTAACATTCTGCTACATGATATGTTTTATTTCAAAGAGAAGTCTGTTGGGTACACTCGCAAACACATACACACATCTTCAAATGTTCTGAATAACAATAAAGATAATTTGATTCTGGCAGCTTTAGAAAACAAACAAAACCCAAAGGTTCCATTTTACTAATGGATTGAATAAATTAATTCTCAGATAAACTACTACATCATGTAAGAGCTATGGAAATTAGCAAAATCATTTTGCAGCCTACATTTCCAACTTTTCTTATACTATACAAGTATTATTACATACTACTTTAAGGGTTACTATGAACTGTTGATTGTTCAAGGAGAAATGCCTTGGATATTGTTGAACTCCTATGGACTTGTGAATGTATCATCTTCCCCTTTGTTGTACAGTGTCAGAAGATGATGCATGCATTTAAGATCTCTGCTACAGCAAGGCAGCCACATAGGAATTCCAAGGCTCGGTTAGAAAACTTGTGGTTCCCATGTGGGGTCCTCCAGAGCTGGAAAAAACAAACTAACCAAACCCTAAGTTTGATTCACTGGATCTGAAAATGGTGCAGACAAAATATTGCTGGGAAAGTGGAAGAAACAGACAATTAGTATGATGAAGCAGCTGGAGCACCATTCCTATGGGTAAAGGTGACAACATTTGGGGTTTTTTAGCTTGAAAATGATTAGTAAAGGAGGGCTATTACAGGGGTGTGGAAAATGATGGGTGCTATGGAAAAATGGATTGCGAGAATAACTTGTGCAGACAAGTGGGGGCAAATTTTTCTCATAAAGAAATAATCCCCAGAATCTATACTCCATAAAGTCATTCTTTAAACTGTTTACCTAATTTCTTTACTCCTTTTCCTATGGGGCCAGTAGACATTTATCCTGCTTTTTTTCAGCAGTCAGGGAAAATACGGTGCTAACATGGCATTTTGTATATCATAAATGTGAGTTTTACATCATAAGATGAACACCAAATGCAAAAAGAAACTACTATAGACTAAACAAAATACATTTGCATGTTTTAGACAACTTTAATATGGATATGACATTATTTTAGACTCTTTCCTGTATACAGTATTTTATTAAATAAATATTTAATTGCATGATTTAGTGCACCCTTAATGAAATCTCCCCTTAATAGAGGGCCATTTGCACACTTGGCTATGTAACAGCTGCTTCTCTCACGCCCACCAGCATTACTCTGAATATTTCTTTACTGAAGGCTTTTCACAGTAGGTGCTCCCAGATGAGGATTTTATTGTGCTGTCACTCTGCCTAATGCATGATATTTTATGTGGGATTCAAATTATGATGTATTCCATTTGTAATCCCCCAAGGTTTCCCTGCCACTTCATCCTTTTTTCCTCACTGTTGAGTCCATTGGGGAAGAAAAGACAGAAAAGCTTAACAGAGCCTTCTGTTAGTTAGCACTAGAACACCCACCTCACCTCCAAGTCTGGAAGCACCCAGTGGTTCCCATTATCTTATTACCTTCTCATGCTTCCATTCTTTTTTTATTTCTTTTTTTATATATTTAAGCTTGAGCTCATCCTGCAAAGAGAACAATGGTGAATAGCTAAAGCCAATGTTTTTTCAATTATTTAGCCTTTGGTGGCCTAACTTCAAAAACTACCTAATTTTATAATTCCTCCAAGATTTCATGATTTAATTTATACACTTTACATAAAATACCTCATTTCAAAACAACATGTCATGGAATATTATCACTGCAGGATATATTAGAAATGAATAATCATCCTCTAATAAGAATAATGTTTCCCTCATAAGAGGGTTACTATCAAAACACAGGCATCTGTTTCACTGAGAACCACCCAGCTTTTTGGAACAACTGTCTCTTTCACTCATAGATTTCTATATTCATTTGCAGAATGCAGAGGCTGTATTGAGATACATGAGTGTTACACTGTGCAGTTAGTAAGTATATTAATTATGGACCTAAATGAAGCATTTTTCTTACTAACCCAGATCAAAATGTATAAACCAGATGGTGCTTAAAGAAGAACTTATAAACAATAAAACACTGATTCTGACTACCATGAATAGACAAAAGGGCAGCTTGTTGTAAATGATCTGATTATACATGAAGTAAGCAAAGTATGTATCTTTGTTATAAGGAAACACCTGGGGCCAGTTCTTGAGCTAATGTACAGTACCAAGTAGTAAACCTGTTTAAGAGACTGTACTGTTGGCATTTACAGAAACCAAAAGGTATGTAATTTTATTCTACAATATCCTTCTTAAGAGGAAGCCCGTGTATAAAGTCTATCAATTACACTTGTGGTATTCAGGTCCTGGATACCTTCAGTGTGAACCAGAGAGCACATGTAACTTGCAGACTGCCATACAACATTAGGGGTCATCATTGTTGCTAGGGAACTAGCAGTATCTGGGAAAGAGGCAAGTGAGAAAAGATGGAAGCAGGTGAAACAGAGAGTTATAGAGTCAACCATTTCAGAAGCAATGTTTTAAAAGCTAGGAGGAGGAACAATAGGACTCCATAGTGAACAAGGCAAAATCCTCTGAAATCACTCTGATCAGAATTATGCAACTAAGAAAATTTGTGCCAAGGCTTCAGATTCTTCTTATACATGCAAATACAGTTCCCCAAACTAGTTTTATCATTTAAAAAAGCCCTACAAAAAAGCCCTATTAAGCTTAATTCAATGAAAATTAAGCAAAATAAATTCTTCTAAAGATCTGTAAGGTCAACCTGTCTTATAACTGGAAATGGGGACAGTATTTATATACCATTTATATATTTATGGACATTTATATACTGCAGCCCAAGTTTCCACCTTCCACACCCACTTTCTCAGCCTTGGAGAGACAGCCAGTATATTTTTCCGCACCAGCTGCAAGGGGTGGGGAGCAGTTTTGAAGAGCAGATTCCCAGCTCTGAGGTCAGAGCTCTGTCTCTAGAAATATAACAGAAACATGTGAAAGCAACTACAAAGTTTAAAAGGCTAAGCTAAAAGATGTGTTTTCAGACACTTTTAAGAAGCCAAGAGAATGGGGGTCATTTGTAGTTCTACACATTCCACACTTTAAGATAACACAAGATAAAACACACTTATTTTTTCAGCATTCACATTTTGAATGTGAGCACAAAGGTGTTTGCATTCATGAAGATCCCTATATCAGGAAAATGTCTTGCAAAACATGTGCATGGTATTCAAACTTCTATACTAACATGCATGTTTTAGGAAAACTTTTCCTAAAATATATCAGATTTCATGTTAATTTTTTCTTATCTCCTCTCTCAATTTACAACATATCAGACTTAGGACTGGAAACATGAGAAACAAAACTGGGAGATTCAGCCTTTCATAATAAACACTAAATATCTTCTGCTTAGAAAGTTCATGACCCAGAATACATGTGGATGACTCTGTTTTTCCCATGCATTGCCACTTAAACCAAAAATGATCCAAGATGAATAACATGGTTTCCCCTCCAGTATTCATAAAACTATAAGAAATATTGAGTGCGATAATATATATAGATATAGATATAAATAAAATGAAAATAGAGATCAACATTTCAATTAAAATGCCACCAGCTAGAGAAAATTACAGTGCTACAAGGAGTCACTTTTTGCAATTTAGTTGTACAAATTCGAATGTTCTTGGTAGTCACAAAGGAACTCCTTCTTGTGGAAAGCAATCCCATGTCAGGATCAGAATTCTGAAAAAAATGTAAAATACTCTAAAAATACAATGCAAAGATAATATAAAACCACACAAGGTAAAAGTAAACAACAATGCATAAATAATAAGTGTGGTCTGATATGTGGAACAATGTCTGCAATCCAAAGAATACTCAAATGATTCTGCCTCTGTGCTGGAGATTCTTCAATTCTATTTCTCAACTGTGCAGCAGAAACCTTTGTTTAAGAGTCCTAGAAATTATTTGCTAAATAGCGGGTCTGTGTTCTGAAGGTAACGGGAGATGAGTTACTGCTATGCAGGCTGTGATGATCTTCACATATCCCTTTTGTTCTAAATTAGTATTCAGAGAAGACTAATCTGTATTTGTGTATTTTATTTTATTTTACTTTGATGCAACAATGGTGATTAGAGACCATCTCCAGATCAACAACTTAACACTTCTTTCCAGGGTTTCATTCAGGTTAGTTACCTACTGACACAGCTTGTTAGTGGTTGCATCTTTTGTCAACCTTGTCAGTCAATCTTGATAGTCTTGCATTAGTTTGCTGATGAGTGCAGAAGATGGCCAGATCATTTGGGGGGGGGGGGGCTTTTGTTGCATCTGGTAGTGTGAATCAAATGGAACACCTGTACAAATGGGAGACTCTTGGATGAGCAGACAGCACTTCCATTTGCACAAGCAAAAGAATTGGATCACCATCCGCACCTGCCCTGGAGGTTCAGCTGTTGCCCCTTCTACTGCCTGCAGTCCTGTTCCAATCCACCAGTCCTCAGCAGAAGGTCTATGAGGGCTGCAAATCTATGCACAATTCCATGAGAAGAACATGATATGAATTTCTTAAGATCCAGGCCACTGTGCTGGAACCCAAATAGAAAAGGATGAATCTGATGATTTTTCTTGCTTCTTTTTACTCCTTTTATCTTTTTTAAGTTTAAAGTTTGGTTTATTATGTACTTCAAGAAATCTTAGGTTCAATTCATCCTAAACTTTGAGAATTTTTACTTTGCATAAAGATGTGCATTTTTTGTGTAGATTTCTCCTAACACACATATTTTTATGCAATTTTATTTAATGTACATATTTTCCATGGAAATTTCCCTAATATACACAGTTGAACTAATATACACAGTTCTCCTATTATAATTGGAGAAATCTCTTGCACAATTAGGGGTGCAGATTTTGAAGGATACACTGATATGTAGCTGATGTGATATACAAAACACAGCGCCCCAAATCAAAATAAATTGTACTACAGCAATTTATATCAGTCAGATCAGATCCAAGTGCAATCATCAGCACATTGAAATAATAGCATTTAATCTTAGCTCAATCATATTACCCCAGCTTTCTTCCACATTTTGATTTTGATTAAGCTGCATCATGTATAAGTTATTATATTGAGATAAAGATAATATGGCTTCATTTAAGATAGCAAGGAGAAGCCATTTTGTCTAATTTCTAGGAGATTTTGATTATTTCATTATTACGATAAAGACACTATTGTTTCCATAGACTGAAGCTTCCTTTCATAACTTAATTTTGTTGCAGTTTTGTGATTTAAGAGTGTTTTTTATTTAATGAGAAGTGAATCTATTCATTTTATGTACATTCAGTGAATGACATTCATGTGGATCTTATACACATTATAAAACATAGTGGAGCCAATTCAGTTGAAGGCAGGAGGAGTACAGATGCTGGATTGCCTTCATGTTCTCCTCACCCTTGAAATATTTAGATGGAAGACTTTGGTCACCTATTTTTCCCCACCTTGCAAGGAAAAGAGGCTGAGGCACCCCAGTGTCTCTCTCCTTCCCTCCGCACCCTTGTCCTTGCCCCACCCCATGCCAGTTTCAAAGGTGGTCTGTCTTTGGATCTCAGCATGAGTAGAACTAGTCTGACTGTGAGAGAGGAGAGAGGGTCCTCTGAAGTCAGAGCCCTAGGCCGGCATGGGTGAGAGCTGCGCCGGATTGGGGGCAGGGCGCGGAAACAAGCCGCCAGCATAATTCGCCAGATGAGGCCGGGCAGGAACCAGGACTGGGCCCGTCCCCTGACCATCTGCTGCTGCCGTGCCGCCACCGACCACCGAGGCTGACCTGTGCTCTGCGGACTGCTGACGCCATGTGAGCAGCCATCATGGGACCCGGGGGCTGAGGACACCGCGGCTGGACTGGTTGGTGGGCCTGTCATCGCCCACTGGCGCCATCTTCTCCCGGTGAGTTCTCCGCAGCCGCCCTCGCTCCCCTCCCCTGCCAGTGTGGGTGAGAGCTGCAACAGATTGAGGGTGGGACACGGGGACGAGCCTCCAGCATAACTCGCCGTATGCAGCCGGTGGCTGATGGCCAAAGGGTGGTCGTCGCCATTTGGGGTCATTTTGGGGCTGTGCGGAGGCTGGCCTGGCCAGGAATTCTGTTGGCTGGCAGGGCAGGTTGGTGTGAACTTGTAAATTTGTATATTGTATGGGTGGTTGGTGGGGAGTTCTTAAAGTTTTAAGGGTTTTAATTTGTTTTTAGCCTAATTTTAATAAACTAAAGCGACCCCCCTCCCCTCCCCTCCAGGCGTGGTCAGTGCTGAACCAGATACCCGGGTGGGCACAGTTGAGAGAGGGAAACATCCCCCACTCTTCCGCCCAGGTCTCTGTGATACAAGCCAGGTCAGCCCCCTCATCCACAATTAAGTCGTGGATGAGGGACGATTTATTATGGACTGACCTGGCATTAAGTAACAGCACCGACAAGCCCTGGGGGTGGTTGATAAGACTACCTGGAACCCTTCGGCTGGGGGAATAACCAGAAGGGGGAACAGATGTCAACCATCTGTCCCTCCTTCTTCTACGCGGACTCGTTAGACCCTCAACACCATAA